GATATAAAGTATAAAATAAGAAGTAGTAAAAAAGAAAATGGTTGGTTTGAACTCGGAAGAGGTCGAAAAGAAATAAAGAAAAAGTGGGAATAAAAGGAAAACAGAACGTAGCAACTGCCGGAAGTTGATTGGAGGGTTACACATGTGACGAAGTGAGGGTGAATGTAACCCTACGGAACGCGTGACCTCGGGTCAGAAAACGAATGCGTTGAGGGACCAACTTTGTGACATCTGGAAATTGAAAGGAATAAAAAAGAAAATATGAAATAATATGGAAAAATTATTATTTGTTTTGAAAAATTATTTAGGATAATTTTATACTTTGCAATTTGGGAACATATTGTGATGCACAAATCCTACATCTCAGCATATTTTGAAGAAAATATTATGACTGCGATCAAGCCGAGGCCGCTTGCGGCCGAGGCAATACAATTAATACAATATTATACTGTCTCAGTTGTCTAATTTTTCCTTCTAAATAAAGCCGAGGTCGCCTGCGGCCGAGGCTGAATAATTGATACAATATAATACTACCTCGGCTATATGCGATCACTGTTTTATGAAACACAATCAAACATTTTCTCTTCAAGTTAAGCCGAGGTCGCTTGCGGCCGAGGCAGTACAATTAATACAATATTATACTGTCTCAGTTGTCTAATTTTTCCTTCTAAATAAAGCCGAGGTCGCTTGCGGCCGAGGCTGAATAATTGATACAATATAATACTACCTCGGCTATATGTGATCATTGTTTTATGAAACAATCAAACATTTTCTCTTTAAGTTAAGCCGAGGTCGCTTGCGGCCGAGGCAATATAATTAATACAATATTATAGTCTCAGTTGTCTCATTTTTTTTTTCTAAATAAAGCCGAGGCCGCTTGCGGCCGAGGCAGTACAATTAATACAATATTATACTGTCTCAGTTGTCTAATTTTTCCTTCTAAATAAAGCCGAGGTCGCTTGCGGCCGAGGCTGAATAATTGATACAATGTAATACTGCCTCGGCTATATGCGATCACTGTTTTATGAAACACAATCAAACATTTTCTCTTCGAGTTAAGCCGAGGTCGCTTGCGGCCGAGGCAGTACAATTATACAATATTATACTGTTTCAGTTGTCTAATTTTTCCGTCTAAATAAAGTCGAGGTTGCTTGCGGCCGAGGCTGAATAATTGATACAATATAATACTGCCTCGGCTATATACGATCACTGTTTTATGAAACACAATCAAACATTTTCTCTTCCAGTTAAGCCGAGGTCGCTTGCGGCCGAGGCAGTACAATTCATACAATATTATGCTGTCTCAGTTGTCTATTATTCGCGTTTTTCTTTTAAAACTAATTTAATACAACTGTTAATTTACACCATTATTAAAAAAAAACACTGACTAAAGCATAGCAGTGATCACTGCTCGAGAAATAGCAAATCAAGAGGAACATAACGTAGTTTATACTATTAACCTAGCTGCTATGCGACAATAGTTGTAATACATTTTCCGAAGGTACTAAAACATTAAAAAATAACGAAAATAATTTTTTTTTTTTAAATTATAAGCGATCGTGAAAATTTTTTCAAGTAAAAGTTATGTGAAATTATGCAATTTACCCAACTGAAGGAAAAAAGATTATAGATTTTAAAAAATAGCGAAATTAGTACTCACATCCGGTATAACCGGAAGTACAAAGAGAATGATTTCATGTCGTAATCATTCTCAAAATAAAAAGTCACTAATAATAAAAAAAATATCGGGGTGAGCCACTTCTGAGGGACACCCGGTATGTTGACATATCTATTTAACTTTTGTTTTTTGTATAATAATTAGTTGGCGTGCCATAGCACGCTACAGTAATATTTCCAGTAACTAAATAGTTGAGGTTAAAATTAAGATAAGATTTTAACCAAGTACATATTTATTCTAAAAACGTGCTACATAGTAATTAAATAGAACAAAACACCTTTTGTAGGCAAATAAACACCCCACAACATTTTTTATGCACCTTTTCTTTTTGAATAACGAAAGCTCAAACGTCAGTGTGACATATTTATCAAAACATCATATAACAAAACTCCCTGTTAATTTGGCCAACTTTACAACAATTTGACAAGTATTATAGAAAAAAAATTAACTATAGTTACTATATCAACGTGAGTTTAGCCACTACTATAATCAAAATTTTGAACATTGTCGCTTACTATTTTGGAATTGAAAATTACATACATGCGATACTTCATTGGAAAGCTCAAACGTATGCTCTTTTCAGTAACATCATAATCAAGTATAGTTTGTATTTAAAAAACACAACTTTGTGTTGTATCTCAAAAATCATCAAGTATGTTTAAAACTTTTCAACGGCAGTATATTCTACTTAAAAGTGTCTTAAGAACGTATCAACCCCATTTCTCTAATTTGAAAAATAAATGAAATATGAGCATTTTTTTAAATCACGAAAATTTCACTTTTTGGCTATAACTTAAAAACAAAAAAAGATAGAGGTTTGGTGTTTTCGGGATTGGATTAGAGACCGGGACATGGCACCTATTTTTTTCGTATCTCATATAGTTTCTAAAATACCCTATAATAATACCCAAATTTGACCACCCTGTATAGGGTGGTTCAAATTCGATGTCCGAATAGGCTAACTCGGAAACTATAAGAGTTAGAAAAAAAGTAGCTTACATGCTTTGATTATATATAATATGGATTGAGCTAACTGAATATATCTACTAACAAAAATGTTGCTCAAGGTGAATAGACGCAGATGGAAAGCGATAATGTGAAAGTGTAACAAAGACAGATATATTATATGTCAGTACGCTTCTATATCTATCTAAATGAAAACAACCACTGATAATTTGCTTATTAAATTCGTTATTTTGTTCTGATTACAAAAATATAGGGTTTAATAGGTCTATTTCGTATTGTTTTAGAATAAAAATAAACTTTTTTTTTAGTGTCGTCAAAGAAATTAAATTTACAGTTTCCTGTAAACTATAACTAAAAATTAAAAAAACATATTTCTGATATTTGAAACAAATACATTTGTTGAACTATTTAATTTATATTTGTATTACATTTGTAGATTGCATTATTTCATATTTTTTTTATTTTATTGTTAATTCATATTTTTTATTAATATTTAATATTATTATGAAATTATTGATAGATGGCGCTCATATATTTTTTTTAATTCAAATAAACGTAGCAACATTTGTTTGTAGGTATTCAAAAATTTTCTGAAGTGTTAAATTAAAAATCCTGTTTTTTGAGATGGATTACGAAAATTGCGAAAAGTTTAACATGTTAGAATGTTACATATTAGAAAATAAAGTAAATTTTACATACATTTTTAATAGCATAATTTTTAGTTATAGTACCGTAATTTACAGGAAACTGTAAATTTAATTTCTTTGACGATTCTAAAAAAAAAGTTTATTTTTAGCTTTATTCTAAAACAATAAGAAAGGTCTATATCTTAACTTAAATAACGAATTTAATAAGCGAATAATCAGTATCTCAAAATCTAAAACCGAAAACATTTTTTTCACGTCATCAAATTCTCTGTAAAAAAGTGTCCATATAATGTCTTAGTTATAATACTCTACCTATAATAATAACCAAGATAATTGCTCTTGCTGGTTTTACGATACTTTCAATTTTGGCCTCTAGGGGAAAAACAAAAGACGATAGCGCTTTGAGGTTTTTGGCATTAGTAGTTTCTCGAAAAACGAGATCATGGCATGTAAGCTACTTTTTTCTAATTCTTACAGTTTCCAAGATAGCCTATATCCAAGATAGATTCGGACATCGAATTTGAACCACTCTGTACACAATATGTTTTATATCGCTATAATTTCAACTGTACTGCCTCGGCCGCAAGCGACCTCGCTTTAAGATGAAACAGATAATGTATGATGAAGGGATTATGAATCAATTAACAACATATGAAGTAGTGCTTCGGCCGCAAGCGACCTCGGCTTAACATAGGAGGTAGAGAATGTACACATGTATTGTGTAGACATAACATCAATTGTACTGCCTCGGCCGCAAGCGACCTCGGTTTAAGATGAAACAAATAATATCTGATGAAGGTATTATGAGTCAAGCAACAATATATGAAGTAGTGTCTCGGCTTGGCATAGGAGGTGGTGAATGTACACAATATGTTTTGTATAGATATAATTTCAGCTCTACTGCCTCGGCCGCAAGCGACCTCGGCTTAAGATGAAACAAATAATGTCTGTTGAAGGCTCGGTATAGATGAAAAAGAAATTATGGCATTACGATGATAAAAATAAAACAAAAATTCAGGATTAAAGAAAATGACGAACAAATCACCTCGATAAATATGTATTAAAAAAGTGATTAAAAAGACATAAAACGAACTAAAAAAAAATCATTTACGACTCAAAACTAAAAGAAGCTCGCAACACTTGATAATAGAATATTTAAACCTTAATTTTTTTTTGTCCTATTATTATTTTCATAAAGCATCTAAAAAAAAGTAGTATAAAAAAATTCATCGTTGGTTTTGCATTGGAAAATCGTCTCTAAAAGCGAAAATCTCCGTTCGCGTAGTATTTATTTGCAATTTTAATGCGCCCGTCGGTATCACTCTGTATGATACGCTTTTAAACTCGAAGATCAAAAGAGTTTTACAGAACGCGTTCAACGTCAACGTTCATTACGCCAAATGCTCTATATGTAGTATGTACGCGCACAATTTTTCCCCACCCGTTTAATTACCGGATATAGTACATCTAACCACTATTTAATTCACAATTTAAAAAGAATTTTGATTCTAGGGGGGAATTGTAATAATATTTCGAAAGCGGCGGTTTCGAATAACGCAAAGCTTTGTAAACTTCGCTCACAATCAGTGATTTTAGGCACGTGCCGAATGCTATGTTATTTAATACTGGCTTTAATCAAATAATAAATAAATCGGACGTGTTATTTATTTATTTTTAATTTTGGGGTAAATTAAATTAAAATATCTCACCTTTAAAATTTTTGAACCACTAATAACTTTTTTTAAAACACTTTATTTTTATCAAGGGGATGTTTCAACCCCTCAAAGTTTCCCGCGCGACTACGGAGATGATAATAATAGAAAAACGTGTTGCACCCTCTCGTCTCGGTCTTGTTCAGTGAATCACTAATCCGGCGATAATTCGAGTTGGTTAGAACCGCGTGCGTTTTCCGGGATGCCACGTGTAATACACCCGAATCACCACCACCACAGCCGTCGTCGTCGTCGTCACGCATCCACCCTCGCGCGTCCGGGGGATAACTTTAAATGTGACAATAATTGCCGCGACTCTCGAGGTGTATCCAGGGGGGTTCCCCCGGAAAATGCAAGGTAGTGATAGAGGTGGAGGGGGAAAAGATAAAAATCACCAAAAATTTATTTTAATTTAATCACATTAATTCGAAATAAATTAATAATCGAGTAGAGCCAAACCGACCTCTCTTAATTGTTTCTCCAAATCCAAAAAATCCTCAACATATTGCCTCCTCAACCTTTGCCTTCGATTCTATTTAAAAAAAAATCATCAAAATAATCTAATTATTAATTTTAAAACGTTACGAACGCATCGATTTAAAAGATTGATATTCATCAACTCCTCCCTCATCGGCAAAACCATGGGGTATAACCCAAAATGTTGTTGGGGGTTCAAAAAATAACTCCTATCCGGATCTTTCGCCAAAATCGCATTATTACTATCAAAAATCAAAAAGAATTAATCCCAATTCAATTAATTCAACTACATCACTTACAGATACCAAACTTTAGTCTCAAAAGTTTTCATCTTCAATTTCAATGTTAAAAAACCTTTTTTTATTCTGTTATGATACGATCGAATTTGATTTATTCAAAAATGAAACTTCACTAATTTTTTTTGTTTCACAATGAGATCTACGATCTTAAAATTGCATTAAAATTTTTTTTATTTCCATTTACGGATGAGTACCACTCAATTGGCGATGATCGAATCATCCCCAATACAGGCAATATCGTGCTGCAATCGTGAATCCGATTAAAAGGGGCCCTAGCGACGGCTCCACCATGGTGGCGGCAGCATCACACGCCGCCTTAACTCGCCACAATTGAATTACTCTCGAAATCGGGGTTTGAAACGCGCCGTCGTCGCGATGGGGGTGGCACCAAATACGTCCGCCCCCACCTTCTCGGTTTGATTCACCAACACCTGACGGGGAGCGAGATCTCCAACTTTACCACTTGGAGATATTCCCACGAAGATTTTTCTCCGAATAAAACCTTTTTATTTTCTTGGATATATATTTTTTATATCACAATTCAATGAGAATTGAGTTAGTTAAGATTTATTTTGTGATATTTTTCATTAAAAATCCTTTAAAATGAACCCAAACACGACCGATTTTGCTTTAATTTGAGATATTTTGACACTTTATAAAATCCAAGATGGCCGAAAACAAATGATTCACAAATAACACAACGTATAATTAAAAAACATTTAAAATGAGCCCAAACTCGACATATCTAAGTGTTATAACACCCGAGATATCTTTATTTTTATAACATCAAGATGGCCGAAAACAAAACATTAATTAATTTTGACATTTATACCTTTTTGAGTGTAATTTGTTATAAATATAAGGTGTAATATATCAAATCGAGTTAAAATATTCTGATTTTTAAGGAAATCTTATGTTTTTTGATAAAACAAAATTAAAACGATGTGTTTATGTTTAATTTTCAAATATTTTTAACCTTCATAAAAAAAATTAATCCAAACGCGACCTTTTTTGGTCTTAATTTGCGATATTTTGACATTTCATGAAATCCAAGATGGCCGAAAACAAATGATTCACAAATAATGCGACGTAAATTAAAAAACATTTAAAATGAGCCCAAACTCGACATATCTAAGTATTATAACACCCGAGATATCTTCATTTTTATAAAATCAAGATGGCCGAAAACAAAACACTAATTAATTTTGACATTTATACCTTTTTGAGTGAAATTTATTATAAATATAAGGTGTGATATATCTAATCGAGTTAAAATATTCTGATTTTTTAAGGAAATCTTATGTTTTTTGAAAAAACAAAATTAAAACGATGTGTTTATGTTTAATTTTCAAATATTTTTAACCTTCATAAAAAAAATGAATCCAAACGCGACCTTTTTTGGTCTTAATTTGCGATATTTTGACATTTCATGAAATCCAAGATGGCCGAAAACAAATGATTCACAAATAATACGACGTGTAATTAAAAAACATTTAAAATGAGCCCAAACTCGACATATCTAAGTGTTATAACACCCGAGATATCTTTATTTTTATAAAATCAAGATGGCCGAAAACAAAACACTAATTAATTTTGACATTTATACATTTTAAAGTGATTTTTATGATAAATATGTGGTGTGATACATCAGATTAGGTTAAAATTTTCTGATTTTTAAGGATATCTTATGTTTTTTGATGAAACAAAGTTAAAACGATGTGTTTATATTTAATTTTCAAATATTTTAACCTTCATAAAAAAAATGAATCCAAACGCGACCTTTTTTGGTCTTAATTTGCGATGTTTTGACATTTTATGAAATCCAAGATGGCCGAAAATAAATGATTCACAAATAATACGACGTGAAATTAAAAAACATTTAAAATGAGCCCAAACTCGACATATCTAAGCGTTATAACACCCGAGATATCTTTATTTTTATAAAATCAAGATGGCCGAAAACAAAACACTAATTAATTTTGACATTTATACATTTTAAAGTGATTTTTATGATAAATATGTGATGTGATACATCAGATTAGGTTAAAATTTTCTGATTTTTAAGGAAATCTTATGTTTTTTGATGAAACAAAGTTAAAACGATGTGTTTATATTTAATTTACAAATATTTTTAACCTTCATAAAAAAAATGAATCCAAACGGGATCTTTTTTGGTCTTAATTTGTGATATTTTGACATTTCATGAAATCCAAGATGGCCGAAAACAAATGATTCACAAATAATACGACGTGTAATTAAAAAACATTTAAAATGAGCCCAAACTCGACATATCTAAGTGTTATAACACTCGAGATATCTTTATTTTTATAAAACCAAGATGGCCGAAAACAAAACACTAATTAATTTTGACATTTATACTTTTTTAAGTGAAATATATCATAAATATGGGGTGTGATATATCAAATTGGGTTAAAATTTTCTGTTCTTTAAGAAAATTTTATTCTTATTGATTACAAAAATTCTTAAATTGAGGTTAAATTTTTTTCCTCTTTAATTTTTAAATATTTGTTATCTTCATAAAAAGATCTTTAAAATAAACCCAAAAGCGGCCTATTTTGCTACTAATGTTTGATACTTTGACACTTTATGAAATCCAAGATGGCCGAAAACAAATGATTCACAAATAATACGACGTAAATTAAAAAACATTTAAAATGAGCCCAAACTCGACATATCTAAGTGTTATAACACCCGAGATATCTTTATTTTTATAAAATCAAGATGGCCGAAACAAAACACTAATTAATTTTGACATTTATACTTTTTTAAGTGAATTTTATGATAAATATGGGGTGTGATACATCAAATTGGGTTAAAATTTTCTGTTCTTTAAGAAAATCTTATTCTTATTGATTAAAAAAATACTAAAATGACATATTATATTTTTTTCATCTTTAATTTTGAAATATTTTTAATCTTCATAAAAAAATCTTTAAAATGAATCCAAAAGCGACCTATTTTACTACTAATTTGTGATATTTTGACATTTTATGGAATCTAAGATGGCCGAAAACAAATGGTTCACAAATAATTCGACGTATAATTAAAAAACATTTAAAATGAACCCAAACTCGATATATCTAAGTGTTATAACACCCGAGATATCTTTATTTTTATAAAATCAAGATGGCCGAAAACAAAACACTAATTAATTTTGACATCTATACATTTTAAAGTGATTTTTATGATAAATATGGGGTGTGATACATCAAATTGGGTTAAAATTTTCTGATCTTTAAGAAAATCTTATTCTTATTGATTAAAAAACTACTAAAATGACATATTAAATTTTTTTCTTCTTTAATTTTGAAATATTTTTAATCTTCATAAAAACATCTTTAAAATGAATCCAAAAACGATCTATTTTGCTACTAATTTTTGATACTTTGACACTTTATGAAATCCAAGATGGCCGAAAACAAATGATTCACAAATAATACGATGTGAAATTAAAAAACATTTAAAATGAGTCCAAACTCGACATATCTAAGTGTTATAACACTCGAGATATCTTTATTTTGATAAAATCAAGATGGCCGAAAACAAAACACTAATTCATTTTGACATCTATGCTTTTTAAAGTGATTTTTATGATAAATATGGGGTGTGATACATCAAATTGGGTTAAAATTGTCTGTTCTTTAAGAAAATCTTATTCTTTTTGATAAAAAAAAAATAAATCACGTATTTAATTTGTTTTTTTTTTAATTTTCATTTATTTTTAATCTTCATAAAAAAATTCTTTATACCAGAACCAAACGCGACCTTCTTCGGTATTAATTTCTAATATTTTGACATTTTATGTAATCAAAGATAAATCCAAGATGGCGCAAACATATGATTCGTAAACAAATCGATGTGCAATTAGAAAACATTTAAAATGAGCCCAAACTTGACATACCTAAGTGTTATAACATCCGAGATATCTTTATTTTTATAAAATCAAGATGGCCGAAAACAAAACACTAATTAATTTTGACATTTATACTTTTTTAAGTGAATTTTATGATAAATATGGGGTGTGATACATCAAATTGGGTTAAAATTTTCTGTTCTTTAAGAAAATTTTATTCTTATTGATTAAAAAAATACTAAAATGAGGTTAAATTTTTTTCTTCTTTAATTTTCATATATTTTTAATCTTCATAAAAAAATTCTTTAAAACGAAACCAAACGCGATCTTTTTTGGTATTAATTTATGATATTTTGACATTTTGTGAAATTCAAGATGACCGAAAACATATGATTCGTAAATAAATCGATGTGCAATTAAAAAACATTTAAAATGAGCCCAAACTTGACATACCTAAGTGTTATAACACTCGAGATATCTACATTTTTATAAAATCAAGATGGCCGAAAACAAAACACTAATTAATTTTGACATCTATACATTTTAAAATGGATTTTATGATAAATATGGGGTGTGATACATCAAATTGGGTTAAAATTTTCTGGTCTTTAAGAAAATCTTATTCTTTTTGATGATTTTTAAAAAAGTATTATTCTTTGTTAATATAAATCGAATTAAAATTTCGAGTTAGCAACAATTCCGACGATATATTCTCGATAATAAAATAGATGAATTCTTTTTCTAGTTATTAGTAATTTTTTTCAGTGATTGTTTTGAAAATCGAACGTGTTCGGTCACAAATCACCACGCTTTGCGAATTTCTGCTGAACCCCGCGGTTTTCGACTGGCCTAAAACTCGTTATCAGCCACCGATATTTTAAACGTTCTCTCTACAACTAGCCCGTTTCGTGAATAACGGGGCATTTCTACGCCAATTTAACATTAAATGCCAATGTATATATTCGATGATCCGAACAGATAATCACCGACCGGAAACTGACCGACTATTTTATTTTCCAATTTTCATCTATTAAATGCATTTATTATTATTTTTTGTTTTAGTACCATTTTTGTTCGGCAATTTTATTACCTCTACTCGCGATCTCTTTATGAACATCTAAATCCATTAAACCCGTTCGGATTTAAGCCCATTTTCACGTGAATATCTCCTCCGCGTCGTTTCAAATCCCATCCCACTTTTTTTTTTCTCCACCCCGACTTCATTCCCATCTAGGAATGAGAAAAAAGGGAAAAAAAGGTTGTGTTGAGAGAGTTTTCCGCTTTTCCCTCGGGCAACCAGTCCATCTGACTAAATCGGGATGGGTTTTTAACGGAAAGGACACTTTAAATCGACGACAATGAATTTCTCTTTAAAAAAAAAATTAAATTAATTTATTTTAATAATTATAAATTGTTTAAATTAAAACTATTAAAAAATTAGTGCCATCTTTTAAACGTTTTTTGTATTAACATGATATTTTTTTTTTCTTTTTGCGAATTTATTTAAGATATTATTTAATATTTAAATATTAATTTTTATGTTTAAAAATTGATTAATTTAATTGTTTTTAAATTTAACAATTTTAATTTATATAAATTAAAAATTATTTTATTAATTTTTGCTATTCTCTAAGAGATGTCGCCCCTAAAATTAATTTGCTGTCAATCGCAGCTGTCAGAGAGCGAAGTAAACATCACCTGTGCGTCGTGACGGCTTTACGTTATAATCGTTTATCAAAAACCCGGACTAAATTTCAAGTGTTAACAAAAAATCGGAAGAAAAATCGGCGACGGAAGATCATCGTTTCGAAAGTGCTGAGAAAACTCCGCCGATCGTTTGAACTAAAGAAGAAAAACCCCAAGATTCCGTCCGTGTCATTGCGTCATGAATATCGGACCTTGACAATTATTCCGCCGAAGTTTTTTTTCCTTTTAACATCATCATCTAGATCTTTTTGCCCTCTCATTTTACTAAACGCTCCGATTTTTTTTAAATCACAGTTTTTTTTATTATGAGCACTGTACGATGTAGTATCGCCAATGCGGGTAAAATCGCTCTCGCAGTACGAAATACCAAAATACAACACGGTAAGTTTTAATTTTAACCCATTTTCTTTGTCTTATGTGACCAAAAAACGGTTAAAACTTTGTTTGTTTACGCTCTTTCTTGTTTTATGTTTTTATTTTGAGTGGATTAACTCCGCTGATTATAAACACAGGAGATTGCCAAATATCTAAATAGAGTTGCTTGATAACATGTTCATTTATAGATGTGGTTTAAAAATTATTGCGTGTGTAACCTCTATGATACATAAAGTTAAATTTCAATGTCATTAGATTACAATTTAAGTATTATTGTACTCTATTTTTTTAATTCTGACGAGTAAAATGATAAGTCATGTTGGCGGGAGTTTTAAAACCAGAGAGGATTTTAATTAAACTGTAGTTACGAATTTAATTACTTATTTGTTTCATAGATAAGGGATAGAAATATATTTATATAGATTTGCTACTTAACGACATAAAACTGAACTGCCATAAGCGCCATCTGTTGAGGTGTTATTGTATTGTAAATTTTTTTAGAATTCCATTTTTCTCAAAAAAGACATTGAATTACTAATAATAATATGTATTTCAATGTCTTTTGTGTGATACAACTCAAAATTTAACACATTCTGAAAAAAATGTAGAGGAAGATGATGAAGATGTGGAATATAATACATATTTCCTTATCTTGTAAATGTTATAAATAAGTTTGGTGTATAGATAATCGACTCTGCATTCTTGAAGTACTTGCAAAACTGCCATCAACTCAATTTAAATCAAATTTTATAAATACTTCTAAATACCCATCTTGGGTAAATACCCCCGGGTATATATCCAGAGTATTTTCCCTTGAAAATAAATACCCGGGTATTTAACAACACTGACTAAAATACATACAATTTAATGGCAAATGTAGAGTTGGTACACTGGTTTTAAGTATGCATTTGTTGCTCTATCACTGCTTTGGAAATGCCTATGACAAATACGATCCGATCTATAGATTATATCCAGTGAAAGATCTGTAAGTTTTGAATTTCCACATTTTAAAATCCACTTCTTACACAGATTCTCTTTCTTTTGTTGTGTCACAGGTTGTGTCCATACATCCAAAAACGGCACAGGCGCGAGTCCTGTTGTTAAAGAATGTTAAAGAATTGTTCTCTTTAAAAATACGACGGTTTGATGACGACACCATGATTTGTTTAAACATAATAAAAACCAGGGCGTACCAACTTACTTTGTCCCACATAAAATGAAACATGTCAATATAATTTGACATTACACTAAAATCTCTGCCTGTTATAGCTCAATAAAATATGCAATTATCTAACGCTGAATAACAAATAAAACTAGATTAACACTAAAACTAACACTAGACCTAGAATTCCGTTTAGCTCTACCTCTCTTAAGACGACTGGTAGGTGGTAGGTAGTGTTAGTTAGCATAAAATATCATTGTTACATATTTTTATTTAACTAAAACTAGAACTAGCACTAGAACTAACACAAGACCTAGAACTAGAATCATTCGGGTTTAGCAGTCTTGAGAGACGTGCGGCTAAATCCGAATGCTTCTAGTTCTTGGTCTAGTGTTAGTTCTAGTTTAACACTAATATTATCACTAGAATTAACACAAGACCTAGAACTAGAATCATTCGGAATTAGCTAACAAACTTCCGATTGTCACTTTTTTGAGGTTATGTTAAAATTAAATGTTGGATATCTCGGGTGTTTTTTAAGATAATTAGGTCGTGTTTGGACTCGATTTAAAGGATTTTTAATTTCCCACCCGATTATGAATAAATAAAACACCTAACGTTACTTTGTTAACGTCAAATCGATATTATTTAATATTTTTCGCCATCTTGATTAATAATTTTAATTAAATAATAATAAAATTCTTTATTTTTAGATCTAAAAATACCCGGCGAATTTAATTTCGTTGAAATCGAATCATTTTTCGTAAATCGTCCTCCATTTTGTTTTTATTACTATCGAATTTGATTAATCTAACATCGTATTCGTAATCTACATTAAATTCCCTTTAAAATGCGTCCAAACTCGGTCGAGTTATCTTAAAAAACAACAAACACCCCCAACTTCCGGTTGTCGCTTTTTTGAGGTTATGTCAAAATTAATTGTGAGATATCTCGGGTGTTTTTTAAGATAATTGGGTCGTGTTTGGACTCAAATTAAAGGATTTTTAATTTCTCACGTGATTATGCACAAAGATAAAACCTAACCTCACTTTGTAAACGTCAAACTAATTTTATTTGTGTAATTTAAAGTGTTAAATTTTAATTAATTATTAAATTTATTTATTTTTTTAGCAAACGTCTTCTCAGCTATAAAAATATGTCAACAACCATCACCTTCACGAACACTTTCAACATCGGATTCGCCCCTTCTATTAAGATCAACCCCAACATCGGCAACGTGCGCCGTTGGTGGTCCCCCGGGTGATCCTCCGAACAACAACGCTACGTTTTCAAGTTCTCAAGGTCCACCCCGGGAACCATCTTCGACAACAACCGGAAATGCTAATGCAGCCACGCCTGGGGGTGGGGGAACGACCACAACTACATCGGGGGGCGGAAGTGGAAAAAATAAGAATACCTTGTCATGCCCGAAATGTGGCGATCCATGCACGCACGTCGAAACGTTTGTTAGTTCGACGCGATTTGTGAAATGCGAGAAATGTCATCATTTCTTTGTGGTGCTCAGCGAGGTTGATAGTAAGAAGAAGGAAGGGGTCGATTCGAAAACAGGGTTTTGCAGGAAACCGCCTCCACCTCCAAAGAAAATTTTTGATTATTTAAATAAACATGTTGTTGGACAAGAACATGCTAAAAAGGTGAATTCATTTATATCTCTCATAAAATATCTCTCATATATTAATTTATTATTTTATACTTTTAATTAGGTTCTTTCTGTGGCTGTGTATAATCATTATAAAAGAATATTTAATAATGCTCCAACCCAAGGAAGTCCTCCAAGAGCTGATAATGCAGTTATGGAATCAGGACCCCATTATAATTTTACACATAGAGGTACGTATATTTTGTTAAGGTATGATTACAATTTATTTAACATAAAATGATTGTAATTTTATTGTGTTAATTGCCTTTTATTAACTTAATTGATTTTTTTGAAATTTTGAGGTTAAATCTGTCAAATTGTAAAGTTAGTGACAGTTGGTGAGATTAGCAGGGATTTTTATTATGTCAAGTTTTTAAATCAATTTATCACAGACGTTTACACAAATAAAATAAACATTAAATGACATTAATTAATTATCTTCAATAATTTTTGAATCAAATTTATTCTCATTTTAATTACACATAATCTATACAAACAGTCAACTTGGGACTGATTGTATTTCGAAATCCCACCGTAAGATGGCATTAGCGTCTATACTGAACTAATTTAATTAAACTAACAATTTTATTATTAAAAGTGGGAATGATGAGAGACAGCAATAACAAATATTACCAGTATCATTCTTTTAAATTAAAAAGTATAGATTCCAATTCGTGTTATATTTTTAAATTTGCCGCTAACTTCAACTTTTAAAATTTTAAAAGTTGAAGTTTGTTCAAAATGACAGATGAAAACGTCATTTTAAAGTGATTTTTTTAGTAAGAAGAGTATAATAAAGTAATAATGCCACATAGTGGCTCCAAACACTTTCCACAAACAGTTATTCTGTGGTTGGAGCTTTTATATATAAACCCAATCCAACCTGTATTCTAGTGGTTCGGTTCTTAGCTGAATAATTCTAAAATATCCCCAACAGATGGCGCCACGTGCGTTCAATTTTTTAGTGCGAAGTTTTTGTTTAGAGAGTTGTATTTCTACGAAGCTATTTTGTATGATACAAACTAAAAACCAATGAGTTAGCTGCAGTTAGCTGTCAATGTTTGACAATTAACTCATAATTTATTTTTTATCCGTGTGTCACGAATAACACGAACAATGTTGGCCTTCAAGGCGTCAGTTGTTGCTGGTTTATCAGCATAAACCAATGACTTCACGTGGCCCCACAGGAAATAATCGAGAGGTGTCAAATCGCATGACCTTGGAGGCCAATTGACAGATCCATTTCTCGTAATCAACTTATTGCCAAATTTTAATTTCAATAAGTCGATGATTCCTTTCGCCGTATGGCACGTAGCGCCGTCCTGTTGAAACCACATCTCGCTCGAATCAATGTCATCCATATTTTCAAACAAAAAATCATTGATCAATGTGCAGTAACGATCTCCATTGACCGTAACGCGAGCTCCGGCTTCATTTTTGAAAAAATAAGATCCAATGATGCCACTAGCATGCAAACCACACCAAACGGTGCATTTTTTTGGATGTAATGGAGTCTGTTGTGAATTGGTTTCACTCCATATGCGACAATTTTGTTTATTAACAAACCCGTTAAGCTAAAAATGAGCCTTATCGCTGAACACAATTTTGCAATAACACATCGGATCAGTTTTCAACTGCTCTAGAGCCCAATCGGCGAAAGAACGACGCATATGATGGTCTCGTGGCTTTAATTCCTGCTCCAGTTGGATGTAGGCCAAAATCTTTGCGCAAAGTTTTCCACGTAGTGGACGGGCAGAGCCCCAATTCCTGGGACCGACGACGAATCGATAAATTTGAATCCTCTTCCACACTTTCGTTTGCAGGGGCGATATTCTCTCAATAGTGGTAAAAATTGATCTTAGGGTCATTACACTTCCAACCACTTATTGAATCTATCCACCAGCAGCATGAAATATTTCCCACACTTCTGAAAACATTTGTTTGACTTTGGCCAAGGTACTATGGGTAAATTTGCAAACATCAGAGGCCACCATAAATTATTTCTTGCCAACATTTTCATTTTTACCATGCCAATATGTTGATCATGAGAGAGTTCCTTGATTGCCAAGAAGAATACAGTTCTCTTCAATAGACAATTCCTTTTGTTTGCATTTTCAACATTCATAGGCCATCCATTTTGAAGATATTCTTTTATTCGACATAATGTAGTGTCTTGATTTGTGTTACAAGCGACATTTTTTGCTGTAATTGGAAAATGTGCACCCAGAATATTTATGTTAACTTCCTCGATAAGTTAATGAGTTAACGAGCGGTAATTTCTTTTTCTTTTCCTCTTTTATATTAGATCTTATAATTATATCCTGATAAGATAATGGCCCATCGTTGTAATCTTTGAGATGCATGAATAGGTAAATCATTCTTTTCACAAACAATATCTTTAGTGGTTGATGATCACTAATTAATTTAAATGGTCTTCCATATTTATGACATTTTTATACTGTAAAAATGATTGCAAATGATTATAATTGTGTTCCTTTTATTAACTTAATTGATTTTTTTGAAATTTTGAGGTTAAATCTCTCAAATTGTAAAGTTAGTAACAGTTGGTAAGATTGACAGGGAATTTTGTTATGTCAAGTTTTTAAATCAATTTGTCACAGAGAGATTTACACAAATAATTAAAATAAACTTTAATTGTTAAAAATGTTATTAATTAATTATCTTCAATAATTTTTGATTCAAATTTATCCTCATTTTAATTGAACATAACCTATACAAACTAAAAACCAATGAGTTAGCTGTCAATATTTGACAATTAACTCATAATTTAGGTTATAACCTCAAATTGTTAAAAATTTTGCAATTTTTACGTTTAATTGTTGTGTATTTTAATAACACAGTTTTACAAGTCACTCCTCTGACACAAGCTTCATACATTATAGAGGCGTCTCTCTAAATACATAACACAATTCATAATTCCTCCTTCGTTACAAATCTAGTTTTTGTGGTGCCTTTATAATTCTTTTAGATCGACGTAAGTTAGGGGTTACCATTACATTTATCTCATTTTCTGCTTTATCTTCATTTTTCTCTTTTGGTGTTGGTAAACTTTCATTGATATTTCAAATTCTTCTCATCCTCCGATATATTTTCACTATGTTGATTTACTTTTTCCATTTTCGAAGGATCTACATGCATAAATCTAGTTCCATCATCAAATTGCACAATATAAGTTCGATAAATTTTCTTTTCTATTATTTTTCCTTCCTTCCAATGTCCCAATTTTTCACCTAAATTAATGGAAACCAACACTTTATGATTTATATTAAATTCCGGTTATCTCCTCTTCATTATCATTGCCTTTTCTTCTACTATAGTTAGCTTACATTTAGCTTATAATTGTGTGCCTTTTATTAACTTAATTGATTTCNAACATAAAATGATTGTAATTTTATTGTGTTAATTGCCTTTTATTAACTTAATTGATTTTTTGAAATTTTGAGGTTAAATCTGTCAAATTGTAAAGTTAGTGACAGTTGGTGAGATTAGCAGGGATTTTTGTTATGTCAAGTTTTTAAATCAATTTATCACAGAGACGCTTACACAAATAATTAAAATAAAATAAACATTAATTGCTAAAAATGTTATTAATTAATTATCTTTATTAATTTTTGAATCAAATTTATCTTCATTTTAATTATACACAACCTATACAAACTAAAAACCAGTGAGTTAGCTGTCAATATTTGACAATTAATTCATAATTTAGGTTATAACCTCAAATTGTTAAAAATTTTGCAATTTTTACGATTAAAACTGTTGTGTATTTTAATAACACAGTTTTCGAAAGATAATTTCGTAGAAATGCAACTCTCTAAAAAAAATCTCGTACTAAAAAATTGAATGCACGTGGCGCCATCTGTTGGGAATATTTTGAAATTGTTCAGCTAAGAACCGAAGCTGTGACCGAAGCATTAGAATAGAGGTTGGATTGGGTTTATATGTATACAGAGTGTATCTGAATGACTGCAACAAACTTCAAGGGGAGATTTTTCAGTGAATTTTAAGGGTGCTTTAATATATGAACCATGGGTGACTTCCAAAAATGTCAGAAAATTTTGTTGCAATTACACCTGTCAAATAATGCCGCCACATTTGAATTTCACTGCATCATATGACATGTGAGATTGCATCTGACGAACTTCCACCCAGTTATAACGTTAGCTGAAACAAAGCTATAATGTCAATTATAATCATCATTATTTAATCATACCATTATTAAGCACAATGTAAGTTCTACAACTATTTCTTTCTATTATTTTTCCTTTCAATGTCTCAACCTTTCGCCTAAATTAATAAAAGCCAACACTTTATCATTTATATTAAATTCCGGTTGTCTCCTCTTAATCATCATTACCTTCTCTTTATCTTTAACAGTATGTGGATGAATTAATATAAGGAGCGTTCTTGGAACATACTTGAAAACCAGTGCTGTAGGCTTGAATCCAGTTATTATCCAATAGTAGTTGTAGAGGTTTTTTACATTGTTTTTGTTCATTTTCCTTTAATTGTTTTTCTAAATTTTTGATGATCCAAATGGTGGTCCATTATCTGTGACTATTTGCTGTGGCAACCTAATAGTGGCAAAAATTGCATTTAGGGTAATTATTAATTCTTCCGCTATTGTATTTTTCAGTATCTTTACTTCCAACCACTTACCTACTAAAGCTATCCACCAGCAACATGAAATATTACTCACACTTCTGGAGAAAATCTATCAAAACATCTGTTTGACTTTGGCCAAAGTATTATAGTTGTTGTTGATGGTTTTCTATCAAGGACAGTAGAATCTAACAGGACTGCTACATCCGTTGTATTTTTGTAGTCCACTAGGGATTGGTTGCCCGCACTCTACGTCACACTATTTGTCACGCCTGGTAAGTGTCTGCGTTTTTACAGGTTATATGATAGACATTAATACGTCTAAATACATAAAACTTCAAAAATAATACGAATACGTCTAGGATATAACCTCTAAAAATACACAGTAAACGCATAGACCATAACAACAGCTGGGCGTGGAAAATGGTGTGACGTAGTTTGCGGGCAGGTTGTCACAACAATGGATGTAGCAGTCCTGTTAGATTCTACTGTCCTTGGTTTTCCGTAGATAAATTTGCAAACATAACATTTATTGCAATACATTAGAGGCACCATAAATTATTTTTTG